TGTATGTGTGCGTGTTCGTATTCCGCATCTCCCATCCTCTTGTGTGTATATCTGGGCTTGGCTCTGTGTCCCATGGCAGCCATATTGTAGTGGTGTCTGCCACCCTTCCTCAAAATTCTAATGGTGCCCCGCAGGCTCGAAAAGGTTGGGGACCCCTGATTCAGATAGGGATGGAATACCTTGATGGATTTCCATCATTACCAGGCAACATACAGTACCTGGTCTGCTGTGTAATATATTTAGGGAGGCCGTGTTCCCTCTAAGCTGAGTTAGTGTGAGCTAGCTCACGGTTTTTTAGCCTCCGGCTCACACATTTTTGTCTTAGCTCAGGAAGGATGGCTCCACAGCAAATAGATTTATGCAGCAGCCCAATGGCTCGCTCACAACTTTAATGCCGGTCGCTCACAAAGTAGAATTTTTGCTCACAAGACTGCACAGTTTAGAGGAAGCAGTGAGTTTTCTGGATTGGAATCCTGCTGGGGAGGGGAAGGCAGCTGTTAAAAACTTCTCACAGTTCTTTAGGAAGCAGAACACGCCTCTTCGTGTGCATTCGAAGGAAGTTCTTGCAAACTTCCCTGGGTTGGGACGAATCATTTGAAATTTCGGCAAGGAAAGCCAGTCTGACGGGCGAAACCTGGCCTTCTCTCAGGCAATCTGATCGGAAACGGAAAAGATAGTAGATGTCCCCTCAGTGAGCTTTTGGGCTGACGACAGAAGGGATTGGGGAATAAATGCAATGCAGTGATTGGAGGGAATCCTTCATTTGAACTCTGTTTATTAGCTGTGAAGGGAGAAGAAGGAAGGGAGGGGATTATGCTCTGCCTCATGACTCAGACATGTTTTATTTGATCATTGTACTTTTTGCATTCAGACATCACACTACACAACAGAAGGATCAGGCCAGTGGTCCATCCAGTCCAACACTCTGTGTCATACAGTGGCCAAAACCCAGGGGCCATCAGGAGCTCCACCAGTGGGGCCAGGACACCGGAAGCCCTCCCACTGTTGCCCCCCAAGCACCAAGAATTCAGAGTATCACTGCCCCAGTCGTAGGAACATAAGTGAAGCCATGTTGGATCAGGCCAGTGGACCATCCAGTCCAACACTCTGTGTCACACAGTGGCCAAAAACCAGGTGCCATCAGGAGGTCCACCAGCAGGGCCAGAACTCCAGAAACCCTCCCGCTGTCCCCCCC